TTGTACAGAATGGACTCCAACCAATGCAATATTATGATCAATGGTACAGAGTGGATTCCAACTGAAACAATACTATGGCCAGATAAAACATTTTTTTTTTTTTATATACTATTAGGCCTATGTTATTATTGGTCACAAAATCTCTATCAATACTCAAGTACACAAAAAACTTAAAAAGTAGCGTAAGTATTGCAATTAATCTTGATTAATAACTACTATGATTTCACCATATTGTTTGGACAGTTCTTTACGTTGGGTGTTATGACAGACAAAAACATAAAGTCATTTAATATAATGCAACATGTGGACCCCATTTGTATTGAACGGTATACAGATAAGCTGATAATACAGGGATTAATGCAACCCATAATTAATGTTGACTAATTCTGTCCTTTGCCTCAGGTAGAATATTCATCTACAAGTCTTGAGTATATATATTTTAATTTAATTAGAAAGTGTGTCACAAAATGTTAAAGAAGTTTTTGAAAAATGCAGAGTTTAAAGCCCAATGCTTTGTCCATGCTTACAAGTTTCCTGCGAAAAATATTTAAAATACCCTTTTCAACCAACAAAAATAATCATGACGACGTTGTTAACGTTTTTAATTAAGAATGGCTAATAGGTGGCGCAAAGAAATATAAAACAAAAGCAACAATTAAGGTCCAACTTAATTACTAATATTCTAAACGTAAAAATTACCAACTTCTTCCCGCATATTTCACTATCGGTGGGGGGGGGGATGGGGGAGTCCACATATTGCATCATATTGGGTAGTTTTAAGTTTCTGCTTGTTACAAACACTCAGTGTAAAAAGGTGTCCAAAACGCTCATTTTATTGTGTAAAATACACAAAAAAACTAGTAGCAATTACTGGAATTAACTGAAATATTCATGGTATTGTTGCTGTGTCCCTATTAAGGAACTCTATAGCCAACAAAGTTTGGTGCGCGATTAGCTTAGGAAAACAAAAAAACAAAAGTGTTTAAAACTGGGGTTAAAACTGATAGATATTAGTGTAAAACTATTTTAAAATTGGGCTGGAAATGACCTGCATTAGTGTGGATTTGCAACACACGTAATTATTATGGTCAGATCTATGAAGATGATAATATACCACCCCAACTATATATACTAAAACGCATTTCATTTAATGCGATACAAGATATTCATATCAAAGAATATAGTGTGCTGTTTGGGGGAAGAGGGCGAATAACCATACCAGACTACACTTACAGTCACTTCCTAGACAGATAATGCTCTAGATCTTGATTTTACATAGTGCGAGAAGTTTAATAATGCATATTACAGATTTGGATGTAACACTAAACAATAAACGATTTTTTATAGTATAATATTTCTTCAATTACATAATGTCATTCTAAACACAGTGTAACAGTACTGTCTTACAGTCAAGTATACATGTACAAGCAATAATCACGATTATTTCATTAATGGTGAATGATTAATGACTATAGTTAATTTCGTAACAGAGAAAACTTCATGTGCTAAAATAACCTACTTGAATCTAGTTGCAGTTCTAGCCGCATTGATAGATAACATAGAATTAACAGATAAAACGGGTTAGAATGTGAATGTAGTAGTAATTATATTGGTCAAACTAAAATAAATTTAAAATACACAGTGCAAGAACAAAAAAGTGTATATAAGAAATAATAAAACAGAAACCTCAGCTACAGCCGAACATGTAAAACTACTCAACATACAATATTATGGAAAAAACTTCAATTTAGCTCAGGTTCGTAGTGTTATAACATTAAATAATAAAGAAACATTAGAAATAATGAAATATATAAAAAAAAGAGTACTAAATAGAGATGAAGGAGAAAACAAGTCAATATGTTAGTATATGGCGAGACATATTATAAAAAAATAGCCCAAGGAAATATACAAATAATAGTGAAGCAATGCAACAAATGGTAAATTTAGTGCATTGAAGATAAACTCTATGATAAGTACAACCCTTCTTGCATCTACATCTCATCAATTCATAACATAATATTCCTTCCTCGGGCAGGTTGTTCAAAGAGGTCTCCAGTCACTTGGGTCGAGCATGTAGGGTTGACATACTTTCTTCCTGACATGCTGCAGCAAGGTATGCTGAGTTAGAGGGGGGGGGGGGAGTTCAAGAGTTCTAGGCCTCTGCCATCCGTAAAGAGTGCACGACAGTCTTTGTTCTCTGTTCTGACTGAGAAGGCCATGAGAAATATAAATCTTCCAACTTAAGAAAGATATTACTCTCGAATTGTTTCTGATAATGTTTACAACCTCATTAAACAATCAGTTATAGATTGGAACGCACTCCAGACATTTCAAAAGACTTCTTCCTTATTCTGAAGAAGGCAGGTGTTGTGTTGCATGCTGTCAATGCATGAAACATTGGCAGCGTTCTTCGTATCTATGGTCCCGATGTTCTAGCAATTCCATGAGCAACAATGTATCTATAGGATCTATCCTTCCAGAATGTGACCCAAAGTTCTGGGATATTTAGTCATGTAACAGCTGTTCCAACTAAAACAATACACCAATGTACGAATCCGTATGTTCTCATACCCAGAGCACATAGAATGAGCAGTATGCAGCAGCATGCAGGTATTAGTCTCTTCTTGGCTACATGGTGAGAGATTGATAGTGTCGCATGTTATTGGTGAAAACATTAGTATTTCATCACTCGTGTACAATTATCCACTCCACTGTCAGCGATCACTGTGGCTAAAAACTTGAACAGTTCTCTTTTGTTTTCATCTTCTTGCTGGAAGGTAATCACTTGTATGAAAGAGATCCTGCTGGCACAACACATCTGCTCTCTCCAATACCACGTTCTTCTCGTATTGATTTCTTCAAGCGTCTTGGACTATATATATTATCTCACACTATCCCAGTCTCTGTGACGTTGCCAACTCTGCAGAACATTTCTCTGGTATATCACTGGAACATCGAGACACCAACTGGTTGAAGTACATGATCCATAGCTTTGCTCCTTCACGAATCAATGGTTGGTACATTACTGGGAAGGCGACATTATTGTTCTAAACATGTCAGTAGATAATTTGTGACTACACTTCATAGTTTTCCATTTCAGAGAATGGTGGTAGGCAATCTTAATTTTCATGGTGAAAGAAGTATTCCAATTTCCATTTCGAGGCTAACAGGCAATGTAGAGACAAAAAAAGTGTGTGTGGTTATTTTTCAAGGATGCTATTGTTATTTAGTTTTTGTGTTTGATTTCTCATGAAGGTAATTGACGACTGAACAGGTGTTTCTTGTAATGGTGTTTGTAATATAGTTTATGTGCTGAGACAACCTTTATTGTACCCATTCCTGGCAGTGGTCTATTCCAACTTCATTTATTTCTACACATTGTTTCAACCATAGGTTGGCCTATGATGAATAGAGTACCAAGGTCAGCAAATGTTTACAATTTTAGAGAAAGGGATTTCCAGTCTTTTCCATAACAGTTGTCAGAAACTTCACTTCATTGACGAAACAAGTTGAACAGCAGAGACTTGCCCATGGCGGCAGTTGGTAGGATTTTTTTTTTAAATTCATATCACTATCAAATTCAGATAAAAGTTTACCTAACTCTAAGCCAACAACTATCCATCTATATAATACTACTAGATTGCCTATAAGACCTACTGTTCCTCCTCTTCTCCCCTTTGATGTGCCCATCTAATTACTCATAGGCTGGATCAAGTTCAATTAACGAGAAAATGCATTCCAAGTTCCAACTTTACCTGCATGCATTGCTGAAGAACCTCAGGATCTTTCTTCTGAAACTCCACCATATCCTGGATGGGTACTAGCAGTAATCACGAGTGACGAGCGTAATTCAAAGCAAAGAGCCCTGGAACGAGAGGAACCAGTGTAGCAAGAGACAAGGTAAAATCTGCCTGACGCAGAGAATGGACTAACTGTAGAAACAAGAACATACAGCTTCAGTGGTAAACCTGGCGACATTCATCAACTTGAAACTTGTACCATTTCTTGAACTCAAAAGGCTATTCACCCGCTGTTTCATGTTCAGCATAGATATATAGACTAGCAGCAGACACTTGATGTAAATAACAAGTTCTTGTGATTTGGGCCACATTTAATATTGCATCTGCTTTTTCAGAAGAAGAGATGTTTTGATTGATAAATACAAGATACTCATTCACTGTTTTGCAACCATGCACCAAAAAGTTTGAGAACAGCAGATTCAATGTGAAGTACTTCTATTTTGTTTTCACTACGAATATTCAGCCGATTCAACTACATATGTTATCCAATGGCGAACAAAGTTAATCCATTATCAAGACACGTATTTAAAACCTCTACAAATAGCATCTATGTTATGTATTATCAACTGATAGAGAATGAGCGTTCTGTATAAATAAAGGATACAGATCAATCAGTGGCAATGGTCTAGGTACAGTACATAAATCAATCTGCATGGAAATGCAGAAGTGGACTTAAGTAGTACAAGTATTGTGGGATCCAGTATGACCACACCATGGTCTGAATCGGATCTCTTTGGTATAGTGCTGCACCAGTGATTCTGCTGTGTCATGGAATGAGTCAAAAGTCATTTATGTAAGGTAGAAACATATGATTTAGATATTCATGTAAGGCAATACATAGAACAAACTCACAGTTTAACAGCATTTTGCAACTCAACCAGCATCCATTTAACAGCATTTTGCAACTCAACCAGCATCCACAAAGCTCAATTTTACCACTCAATTGCTCTGAAAGCGCTTATTACATACACTGGAAATAAAAGACAAGAGGAAATACTGTTCCAGTCTGCAAATCGTCTGAACGTACACAACTGTATATAACTCGTTTAAAAATATGACCGAGTACTACAAATGTCTACTATTCTGACCAACAGTGTGTGCTCTCGTTACACAGAGAATCATGTTGTATGTTCACTTCAGTTGAGCAGTAACTTATTCACTAGAGGAGCCATTAATATCGTAGATCATATCACATGCTACCTGGTATATGCCACTACAGACACGACAATACTAAACTTTTGTCTTTGGTGATCCAAATCCAAAACTCACGAGTCTTTACAGGAGATGGGTTTAAATCAACATAAGCAGTTTCTTCAGCTTTTCTTTTCTAGATGCATTTCTATTTTAGTTTGGAGAATCTGTTAGTACATGATATACAGTACTTTGCATTAATTATATTTAAAGTTTGTTTAAATATATTACCTTCAAGTCATGATTGACTCAAATTGAGTGGCATACATCCGAAACTAAAGATGTGTAGCCATTTCCTTGATCATTACTCTGTATTACGACGAGAGTTGAACACTTCTCATCTGTTTTTACTTGATACAATATATCGCCCAGTTAACCTCTAATGATACTGTTAGTCTATACTGAAATTGCAATGTTTTTATCATAATATCAATTACCTATTAGTCTAAATATTAGATCACCAATATATTTCTGCCAATAATTACAGACCTTTGGAAAGATATAATGTTGTAACTGTTTGTGGTATCGATGTGGGATTGAAATGTAAGGCCCTGGGAGAGTGGAATAGTGGCTCTCAGATAAATAGAATGTCGAGAATTTTACCGAGGGAGATAGGAAGTCATTCTGTATTTAAACTTAAGTGAATAATGTGATTTTTAATAAAGCAAACATACTATATGTTGTAAAATACAATAATCATACCCCCTGAAACCCCCAAGTGAATGTCTAAGTTAGTCCTAATCTTATTAAGTATATTCGAAAGTTCCACTTTAACAGTTTTTGGTGCTTGTATCATAATCGCCTATCTTCTGGACTATTCTTCAGGTATAACCAATCCAGGCACCTTTATCATACGGGGTAAGCTCAACATAGTACATACACAACATACATAAATTTGTAATATCTGTGTCCGTATCTAAGCGTACAGAATTTACAACAGCGTTTAGCATCTTGTTAACCTAATATAAATCTTTTACTTGAAGTTTTAGTATACTAGTTTCTCACGTCTCGATAAAAAGCCAAACTTGAAACATATTTGCTGAATATTAAAAGTATTTAACTAATTCATTCTCTCGACAGAAGATCACAAAATAGTTCTAATTTTTTCCAACATTATTAATAATTTTAATAATGTTATTTATTATTATAAATAAAGGTCTCAACTAATACTTGAGAGCTCACTGACAAATAAAAAGATAGAAACTTCAGGCAGTTCTATACAAAAACAATGCGCTTTTCCAAGAATTTCCAGATTGCAATATTGGAAGGTTCATTATCCTACATGACCTTTGCCGTAACTGAACATACGCGATTTATTTTTCATGTCATTGAATTAGTGTGAGAAAACTGCATTAAAAACAACGTTACCTTGTCCGTGACTTGCATGTTAATTACTGCACAAATACTGAGCTGCTTATCAGCCTAAACACGAAATGTGGAACTTCGTTCGCGCCAGTAAGATCACTAATAAAGATAAGACGCATCAAACTACGTTTTTTTTTTTTTTTGTTTGTTGTTGTTTTTATCAAAGACAAGATGTCTATATCAGTAAAATGGCTACATAGTTAGGCATCTCATACATGGATGGCAATATCTAATTAGCTTGATTTTAATTGGATTAATAAATATTCAGCATTATTTCGTAACCGATATCATGTATGATACTGCAACAGTTAAGGGCGATAAAACATGTTATTTCTTTTCTTCTTTTTTTTTGTAACCGCCCACCCCTTCCGCTATGTATAATTAAACTACTTTTTCTTGCCTATCTTCAGCATCTTCATCTATGTTCAATGTAATGACCCTACTCTTATCAAAGTCTTAAGACAGGTTATCAACAAAATAGAATTAATTAGCTTGAAAACTAAAGTTAAGTAATTTTGGCATAACTAGTGGCCTAAAAATCAAATTCATTTTCAAGTTTGGTTCCATAACAGCGATAGTTTTACGAATAAAAAAGCTTTTAAGTAAATTCCCAAGTTTAACAGTAAATATGAACAAAATTTAGGATATGAACAATACATAATAATAAAAAGATTTCTCTGAGCTCATATTTGCCAAGTGTTAGATATAACGGAATTTAAAATAAATCTAAAAGATTAGGGTGATTCACGGAACAAGAGTTCAAGAGTACGTACATCAATCATCCATAAACTCTTGGTTTCACATTCAGTTTAATTATGATTAAAATAACAAGATCATCATATGCGCATTTTTACTGCCATATGAACAAAGTTTTTGTTCAAAAATGTATTTTTTTTATTATTTTGTCACCCAAACTTCATAGATGGAATTAATACATTTCACTTAAAATACTATTAAGTTGTGTTAAATAATAATGGTTGACAATGATAGATGGCAATTGGTTTTGTTTATGCACAAGACGAACATGACTTGTAGTTTAATGAGCACAAATATTATAACTTGTAGTTTAATGAGTCACAAATATTATAACTTGTAGTTTACTGGATAAAGATGTTATAACTTATAGAAGGAATAGTATAACTTTATAAACGCTCTAGTCTAAAGTTAACATCAATTATAGATAAAGGTTGTTAAAACTCAGGAAAAACGACCCAACAGCGATTTTGAAGAGTGGTTCTCTTTCGCATTAGAGACAGGCATTGCCAAGCAAATGAACTCGGACTGTGAATCCGAGTACTCATGGTTCTCGGCCCGTTGCCACTCCACACTCTGGGGCTATGGGTACGCTATAATAGTGGCAATCAAATCACAATTAGATCAGGAAACAGAAACTCAAGTGTTGGTGGTGGATGCTGTTGTCTAGTTTCATTCCCTCTAGCCTATTAGTTCAAAAATTAGGAACGGATATTCGCAGATAATAATCCTTATGTAGCTAAATTCCTAAACAAACTTTTTCAACACGAGCTCCTGATCCACGGTGGTATTTCAATTTATTAGGAGTTCGTTTAATATGTTTATTTACATATGCAAAGATAATTCTTGTTCCATAAGGTACCAAGTTGGTGTTTGGACTACAGCGAGTATTACACGAGGGGAGGAAGAGAGAATGGTCTGGTGGTAAATTGTACTGATTTGTTGTCGTTAGCACATAATGGCAAAATAGTTAGTTTTTTGTTGTTGTTTGTTTGTTTTTCTTCCTCTTCGAAATAGGTAGTCTTCAAAGACTTTTGTTAACGTTGTTGATGACTACATCAGAACAAATAAGTACTTAATAAATGATTTTTTTTTAATTAGCACTCAGAACCAAGTTAGATATTAAAATAAATTTAAGAAATAAGTGGAAAAATGGTAGGAAAATCCCGCCAAAACACAGAACTTGGACAGCAAAGGCAAGACTCAAATATAAGTCACACTTTTGTCACACACAAACACGCATATATTTGTATATATACATACAGTGTTATCTTTCTGGGTGACCAGCTTCCGATATCATTTACATGCCTTAAGAGAATTCTGAATACAGAAAGACCACACTTTAAAGTAATACTGAGGTCCTAGGGCGATTTTCTACAAGCCTAAATTACCTACGTTAGTGATTGTTCTCAATATACATATTCAAGGAAAGATTAACTCTCAGCTTATACAGACTCTTGCACCATTTCTTCCCTTGGACATCCAAGGTTAGAGGTAATGCAAGTTCTTCTGAATGACCATCGTGGTATGTAACCTTGAAGTGAGGAGAGGATTAACGTAAGTTAACCATTTCTTACATCCTGCTCACAAGGTCGTTAACCAGGTGCAAGTTCTTCTGAATGACCATCGTGGTATGTAACCTTGAAGTGAGGAGAGGATTAACGTAAGTTAACCATTACTTACATCCTGCTCACAAGGTCGTTAACCAGATACAGGACGTCTGCTCGAAGAGTTTAGAAAATATTCCTGGATATATTCTTTGTCTAGTTAGAGAAGAGTATAATCTGTCAATTTCCATTTGTTAGCTTCTTCTTCACCAGTTTTTAAACTTATACGAGAAACAATCGCTCTTATCTATAATTCAAATGCCCTGTGGTTAGGGTGCTTGCCCCGCAATCGGAGGGTCGCGGGTTCAAATCCCAAAAATTGGCGGTAGGTGTTGATGACTAGCTGCCTTCCCTCTAGTCTTTCACTGATAAATTAGGGATGGCTAACATAGATAGCCCTCGTGTAGCTTTGCGCGAAATTCAAACAAACCAAACTATAATTTCAGAGACTTGACTCAAAGCACTGCGTGGAATCTTACAATTCACATACACGACTTTTTTTGTTGTTGTTGTTTTTTGTTTTTTTAGTTAGATTTTTTTTCAGATGAGTATAAACTAAACTTTGAATAAAGCTCATTTCAGCAGGCTCTGATAAAGTATAGTTTAAGGTCCGTTTGATCTTAATATTAATGGTAATATTCATTTTGTGTCAACTCTAACCTTTGATACATTTAAATATCTTTATGTGATTTATCAAAAATACGAAGCAGCTACAAAGTTGAATGCCAATATATATCGTTTTCAACATATTTTTGTCGAGTATCACGGTCTAACCCGGCCAACAGGATCTCGTATTGAATAAAATAACTCGTGTTAAACAAAAGATAGATCTGAAATGTGAAAAAAAAAAACGTGCAGCGAATTATCTTTATTTCAAATATTAGGGTTTGCGTAAGGCACCGTGTATTTAAATATTTATGGGTTTCTAATGGACACCCAAAAAATTTGGTGTAATGTTATCCCCAAAATTATAATTTGTGGCAACTTCTAAGCCAAGTGTCGTTTTTTGTTGTTGGTGGTGTTTGTTGTAGAACAAAGCCACATTGGTCTATCTGCTGTGTATACCAAGGGGAATGGAACCCCGAAATTTAGCTTTGCAAGTTCTTAAGCTTATCGCTGACCCACCAGGATCTGACCATAAGTAAATTATCATAAAAATATATAAAAAAAAGTACATACCGAAATATAAATATTAAATCACAAAATTTTCTTCAAAGATAGGCTAAACTTAAAATTGCAGTACAAAAACTACAAAATAAACACAAAATCTACCGTTACA